AACAATAATGCTGAAGAATCCTCGACAACAACTACACCTGCAATTACTAAAACAAATGAAAATGATTTATGTAAGTATATCGAATAGATAGACAGCATTGAGGAGTTTTTCTATTTTTTAGGAGGCTCTGAGGAGGTCTTCTTGAGACCTCCAATTTGCCTAAGGTATTTTCTCTACAGAAGACGTTGATGTCTTCAGTTCTCTGTAGGAAACCTTAAGGCCTTGTATTGTGTTTAGCAGATTTTCTAGACTTTTATTGTTTTAGGAGACCTTCTATAGAAGACATTGAGGTCTTCTAGTGTCTATAGAAGACCTTCTAGTGTCTATAGAAGACCATGAGGTATTCTAGTGGCTATGTAAGACCATGAGGTCTTTTAGTGTCTATAGGAGACCGTGAGATATTCTAGTGGCTATGGAATACCATGAGGTTTTCTGGTATCCTTTACGTCTTCTATTGTTTGTTTATATATCGAACAGATAAACAGATAGAATAAAATATATTGTCTATAGACTGTATTGGGAGGAGGTCTTCTATTTTCTTTATAAGGCTTTGGGGAGGTCTTCTTGAGGCCTGCCATTACCTAAGGAATTTTTTTAAGGTCTTGTATTGTGTTTTTTGCAGATCTTCAGGCCTTTAATTCTTTTAGGAGACCTTTTATAGAAGACCAATAGGTCTTCTAGTGCCCAAAGAAGACCTTGACGTCTTCTATTGTCTATAGAAGACATTGTGGTCTTCTAGTGTCTATAGGAGACCTTGAGATTTTGTTATTGTCTTTAGAAGACCTTGCCTATAGGAATACATGGAGGTCCTCTAGTGCCTATAGAAGACATTGAGGTCTTCTAGTGTTTATAGAGGTCTTTCATTGTCTATAGAGGTCTTTCATTGTCTATAGAAGACTTTGAGGTCTTCTATTGTCTTTAGAAGAGTTTGAAGTCTTCATTCGTCTATCGAAAACTTTTTATTGTCTATATAAGACCTTGAGGACTTCTATTATCGACTTTGAAGTCTTATATTGTGTATGTTGTCCTTAGACAACCTTGGGGTCTTGTATAAACAATATAGGTGTTCTATATAGACTATAGGCAATATAAGACCCGAAGGTCTTTTAAGAACAATAAAAGTCATTGGGCCCTTGAAAAATAATTATTTAAAAATCCACGCTTTGGAGGTTATTTGGGTCTTGACAAATAATTATTTAAAAATCCACGCTTTGGAGGTCATTGGACGCATGAAAAATAATTATTTAAAAATCCACGCTTTGGTGGCCATTGGACCCTTGACCAATAATTATTTAAAAATCCACGCCTTGGAGACCATTGGACTTGAAAATAATTATTTCAAAATCCACGCCTTGGAGGCCATTGAAACATTGAATGATAATTATTTCAAAATCCACGCCTCGAGATTATTTGGATGTTGGAAAATACTGATTTTAGAATCCATGCCTCGAGGTTATTTGGATGTTGGAAAATACTGATTTTAGATTCCATGCCTCGAGGTTATTTGGATGTTGGAAAATACTGATTTTAGATTCCATGCCTAAAGGCTATTTGGATGTGGAAAAATAATTATTTAAAAATCCACGCCTTGGAGGCCATTGGACCCATGAAAAATATTTATTTAAAAAACTACACTTTGGAGGTTATTTGGGTCTTGAAAAATAATAATTTAAAAACCTAGGCTTTGGAGGTTATTTGGGTTTTGAAAAATAATTATTTAAAAATCTAGCCTGGGAGGTTATTTGGTTCGTGAAAAATATTTATTAAAAAATCCACGCCTTGAAGGCCATTGGACCCTTGAAAATAATTATTTAAACATCTTCGTTTTGGAGGTTATATTATTTAAAAATCCACGCTTTATTTTTTATTTCTTCTTCCCCATATTCTAATTTTTCTCATTTTCTCTCCTTTATTTTATTTTCAGGTGAACCAAAAATTGCCACATCTCCAACAACAATTACAGCGGCCAATGATAACAGCTCTGCCACAGCAACAACAACGACGCCGCAAACTTGTAATTAGGGAAGATAACAACAACAACAGCAAATTTGGAGCTTTAACTCTAGCAATAATGCCGCCGCCGGTTCTCTAATGTGCGCTGCTGCTGTGCAACAACGGCAATATCACACAAAAAGAAAATTCAAACCCAATCAAGCCCCCTCCCCCCACACAAATACACATCTAAATAATTACCTTACCCAACGTCGTATATATCATTTATTACAACAACAAAAACAACAACAGACAACAAGAGTTATAGGAAAAGTGTTAAATCACCGTTTTATCTTAAATATATAAAAACAAACAAATAATAATAAGAATTCAAACAAAAAATAAAACACCTGAAAATCAAACGTTAGTACTTCCCCTCACTCCCACCTTCTCAACTCAACAACAAATATTGGCCCCCTCTTTCCAAACAGTTCAAAAACAAATTGTGTCTCTTTTTTTGTTTTTTTTTTTTTTTTTAATTGTTAGTTTTTAATTATAAATGGACCCCCAAAAAATAATAAATTCATATATTTCAGCTTTTTATATATATATATATATATTTCAACTATAAGTTTTTTATGTTAATATTCTGAATTTTTGAAAAAAAACAACAAATTTTTATTACCTTTATTTGATTTCACAACCACTACCACCCCTTCTCCTCCAAGACCTTTAATCTCCCACATCGTTTTTTTTTAAGTCTTCATACATTGTTTTCAAAATGTATAAAATAATTTTATATATATACAAAAATATCTAATGAAAAACAAACACAACAAAAACCCATTTAATTCTTTATATATATCTGTAGTTATATAAACTGGATTAATAGTTGTAATGTCTAAAAGTTAAAAATTATAATAAAAACAAAAATAATATTAATACTAAATAATAATAATAATAATAAAATAATATAATTCAAATAAATGATGTTCAACAAAAGAAAAAAATAAATAAAACAAAAAATAAAAAAAAATCAAAAACTCAGTTTTTAATTTTTTAAGGATGTGGAAAATAATTATTTAAAAATCCAGGCCTCGAGGTTATTTGGATGTTGAAAAATAATTATTTAAAAATCCAGGCCTCGAGGTTATTTGGATGTTGAAAAATAATTATTTAAAAATCCAGGCCTCGAGGTTATTTGGATGTTGAAAAATAATTATTTAAAAATCCAGGCCTCGAGGTTATTTGGATGTTGAAAAATAATTATTTAAAAATCCAGGCCTCGAGGTTATTTGGATGTTGAAAAATAATTATTTAAAATCCACGCCTCGGAGGCCATTGGACCCTTGAAAAATAATTATTTAGAAATCCTCACCTAGGTGGACCCTTGAAAAATATTTTTTTTTAAATCCACGCCTTAAAGGCCATTGGACGGACCCTTGAAAAATAATTATTTAAAAATCCACGCCTTGGAGGCTATTGGACCCTTGAAAAATAATTATTTAAAAATCCACGCCTTGGAGGCCATTTGGGTATGGAAAAATAATTATTTAAAAATCCACGCCTTGGAGACCATTTGGGTATGGAAAAAAATTATTTAAAAATCCACGCCTTGGAGGCCATTTGGGTATGAAAAAATAATTATTTAAAAATGCACGCCTTGGAGGCCATTTGGGTATGGAAAAATAATTATTTAAAAATCCACGCCTTGGAGGCCATTTTACCCTTGAAAAATAATTATTTAAAAATGCACGCCTTGGAGGCCATTTTACCCTTGAAAAATAATTATTTAAAAATGCACGCCTTGGAGGCCTTGAAAAATAATTATTTAAAAATGCACGCCTTGGAGGCCTTGAAAAATAATTATTTAAAAATGCACGCCTTGGAGGCCTTGAAAAATAATTATTAAAAATCCACGCCTAAAGGCCATTTGGGTATGGAAAAATAATTATTTAAAATCCACGCCTAAAGGCCATTTGGGTATGGAAAAATAATTATTTAAAAATCCACGCCTAAAGGCCATTTGGGCATGGAAAAATTATTCACCCCTATTCCGTATGTCGTCGTCGTTGTCGACGACGTTTCTCTTTCGACATCACTTCGACACTGATTTGGTATTCTGTAACACTCATGCGACGATGTCGACTATTTATCGATAATATCAATAAAAACAAAAATTTTGTTGCATATTTTTGGGCAAAAATGTGTTTGTATCCTTCACCGCACTGTGGCACAGGGCATTATGTCTTGGTAAATGTGTTTGCAACGACCAACAAGTAACGAGATAGACCCATAGTTACTTTTTAGTATATAGTATGTACATAGAATTATTTTTCAGTCGATTTATGCATGTCCCTCCATTCATGTATTATTTTAAACAAGTTACATGCTATGATCCGAACGGGATGAAATTTGGAAAAAATCCATCCAATTGGGATGAAATTTTATTTCCACATAGACGAGTCCTATTGACATTGGTCAAAATCGGTTTTGATTTATATATAGATCCCATATATTTTTCTTTATTTACACTTTATTTTGCATTAAGTATTGAATAGATTTTAGAATGATGTATCCTGTTCTTGTCCGGTCATGTTTTTTTTTAATTTGAAAAAAAAATGTTCAAACGCTTCATTCGTCAACAAAAACTATGACGAAGAAATCTTCGACATCGTCGTCGTCACACATTGTTACGGAATACCAAAAATGTTTCAATAGTTATCGATAAATGTCGACAACGACATAGGGAATACCAATAAGCAAAAGACGATCCTCTTCGACGTCGTTTCGTGTCGACGACGACATACAGAATAGGGGTGATTATTTAAAAATCCACGCCTTGGAGGCCATTTTACCCTTGAAAAATAATTATTTAAAAATCCACGCATTGGAGGTTATTTGGTTCTTGAAAAATATTTATTTATTTCAAAATCCGCATTTGTTTTTAATTGTCAATAACAACCTAACATTGCAATTAAACATAACCTATAATTTAATCATTCATTGTTATTATTTTTTTATTTATTATTATTTTTTATTGAATATTTTTTCTATGTATTATTATTCTATTGTTTGCTATTTAATGTAATTTGAAGATTTTCATCAGCCAACGATGGATGTGGTGTCTTTAGGGGAACACTTTCGGCCGCATAACCCATTGGTTCCTTGGCGCCCTTCAACCATCTGCCAATAATTGGTGAATATAATTTGGGATCACATTTTTCATCTTCCGTCGGTTTCCAAATATAACTCAGAGGTATGGCTGTTAACCACACGAAGAGGGTACCAATTACCTGATACCAATAGAAAGAGATTTCATATAACGAAAATGGACGATTACTGCCGAAGGCTGTGGTGACTAGATCAGGAGTCTCTGTCGACGTTGTTGTAACATTTATGGGCACGGAGAGTTGGGAAGTTTTCAAGGTGTTGTTTTGTATTAAACTATAATCAACTCAGGATCCTGCTGTTTGGTTCCCAAAAAAATGAAACAAATTTTCAAATTTTGTGGGATATTTCAAAGCTCCTCTTTTAATGAGTTCTTATCTAAGACTAAAACATAAAAAGTGATGGTTTTACAAAATGAAATGGCGCTTCTAGCGCTATGTATGATATATATTAAAATGTATGTGTGAGTGCTAGAAAAGTACTAAAATTAAAAAATCGATTTCGATAACTACATTAAATAATAAGATGAGTCAGGGGGACATCGATGCTGTTGAACATGGCTTCAACATACTCCCGGCAACAAACAAGGTGGTTAGGCAGAGTAGTTTTCCTTTGGTATCAGCGGGCAAAGTGTTTTCAAAAATGGAATGTTGCTCCTAGCACAAGATCCGCCAAAAACTAAGCCAAAAATAGTCTCTCGTAGCAATACGTTTGGATTTCTCTCTGATTTTACCCATGGACCGCGAACAACTGCCTCTACCAGATCTCTGCCAATGACTCCATCAATGTTTTTATAGGTGAAGGGCTCAGGGTGAGCTAACTTTCGGCCTTCGGCATATATGATGAGGTCAGGACGATTTATAGGGGGAGCTATGTAGAAAGGCGAAGTCTCCAATAATACAAACCGTTCATCGATAAGTTCTGGCCCATGTATAGCAAAACTGCAGTACGATAATGTACTGGCCGTTGGTTTGATCACTTTAAATTCGTTCACGCTATCATAAAGGACCCATGACTTCGGCACTCGTTCACATAAGTGAAATGTCAGCAATTTGGTTTGGTTTCCTGCAGACAATTTGCACTCTATAACCGGCTCAATCGCGGTGTTCATGCCCTCTGGGGAAATCCATCCAACTTGTTTGGCTCCTTCGTATGTAGTGAGTTGTTTGTGGAAAGGAACAACATCAAAAATAGCGGTATGAGTCGTGGGGACATCATTTTGGTGGTCACTTTCTTCAACCACATTTTCACGGCTGGAATCGTGCTCAATTCGGTCACGGTGTATCATTGAATGATGCTTTGCTTTGCACCGCTCGCATCTATTGACCGAAGGACATGCTGACCGGGTGTGTCCGTGTCCGAAACAATTGAGACATATATCTTGTCCTTCTAGTGCCTGACGGCGTTCTGAAAACAACATTTTCCGGAAGCGTAGGCAATATTTAAGGGGATGATTACGTCCGCAGAGAAAGCATCTGGGTTTGGGATTGCCATCAGCCATGTTGACACTGAGGAAGAAAAGAAAAGGAAAAAACAGACATATACAATGAGAAACTTGCATCTTACATTTAATCATTGGTTTTGCAAATTTTGTCGAATTTTTTGTCAGTCTTGAGATCTTGAAGCGGTTGCGATGCGGGAAGGAGGCACACCTTAACGATTGGGCGTACAATAATACCGTTCTTGGTTTTAATCTCCACTACTCTGACGTTATTATCTCTACCGCTAAAAACTTGAGTGATTCGTCCTAGACACCACTCAGTAGGGGGTAGTAAGTCATCTTTTACGATGACTAGATCACCTTCTTTCAAATTATTTCTGCAAGTTTTCCATTTGTATCTTCTTTGCAATTCTGTGACATATTCTGCTTTCCATCTTTGACTAAATATGTGGTGTAGGGTCTTCAACCTTTGCCATCTGTTGACATATGAAAGAGATTCGATGGGTATAGATGGACAAGGCTCAGGTGGAGCTGTGAGGGGAGCTCCTCGCAAAAAATGACCAGGCGTAAGGGGAACTAATTCATTTGGATCTTCCGATATGGAGCTCAACGGTCTCGAGTTGAGAACAGCTTCAATGCGTATGAGGAGCGTCGTAAATTCTTCAAATGTAAAGTTCCAATTTAAGGTCACCTTTTTTAAATGTGATTTCATACTCTTCACGGCAGCCTCCCACAGGCCGCCCATGTGTGGTGCGTATGGGGGTATGAAGGACCAAGTGAATCCTTGTTCGCTGTAATTAACACACAGTTTTTCTCCTAGAGCTTTTAAAAATTCAGCATGTTCTTGTAGGAGTTTGCGATTGGCACCGACAAAGTTACGTCCATTATCTGAAAAGAGTGTTTTTGGTAACCCTCGCCTTCCAACGAATCTGGAGAATGTAGCCAGGAAGGCATCTGCAGAGAGGTCCGAACAAGCCTCTAGATGAACGGCACGTGTACTGAAACACACAAAAACTGCAGCATATCCTTTCAGTAATTTGGCATTTTTTAGAGCTGACGATTTGATGTTGAATGGACCAGCGAAGTCCACGCCGGTGTAAGTAAATGGCAGAGAAAACGTGACTCTTTCCCTCGGAAGAGCCCCCATTAGCTGATTCTGAAACTTCTGTTTATAAATAGTGCATTTCATACAGTCTCTTATGCATTTTCGAACAATATTACGCAGTCGTGGTATATAATATGCCTGTCTTACCATTCTAAGCATTACATTGTGTTCAGAATGGAGCAATATTTCATGTGTATGTCTAATTAAAAACATTGTTAAACGACAATTTGATGGCAAAAGGACTGGGTGTCTCTCATTGTAACTGAATTCAGAGTTATTTAATCTTCCTCCTACCCTAATAAGACCCTCCTTGTCTAAAAAGGGATTTAGGCTTATGATTGTGCTCTTCTTACTTATAGGTTTATTGGCAAGTAAATCTTCATACTCTCTTGGAAAATAGGTTTTCTGTGCCGCAGCCATTATTTTCCGTTTAGCATCTATAATTTCTCCAGTTGTGATCGGATCTTCAAATGTGAATGAAGTCCCATGATGAGATCTGCACCGTCGTCGTTGAAAAAGTCGGATTATTTGAACTATGGCTCTAATAGTTCTATTGAAAGAAGTAATACGTTGGAATATATCGTTTGCTTTAAGATGTAAATTGAAATTAGACGTCCTTTTCATCTCGACGTTTAATGAATCAAATATTTTTGGTTTAGGCCATTCTTCCAATGGTTTTCGCAGCCAGGGTGGCCCATGCCACCATAGGTTATTTCCTTTGAGCTCATGTGGTGTGCAGCCACGAGTACCAATATCTGCTGGGTTTTCATCTGTACTCACATGACGCCAGTCTTCTTCGTTGCAGATTTCTTTGAGTACGGAAATACGATTTGCTACGAAAGTTTTAAGTGATTGTGGATCTTTCTTAAGCCATCCAAGCACGATCGACGAGTCTGTCCAATAAAACCTTTGGTAATTATATCTAATGTCGAGACAATTCATTAGTTTTGCCAGCATTACTGCTCCACACAGTTCTAATTTGGGAATCGTAAGAGTCTTTAGTGGTGCTACTTTCGTTTTCGCCACCAACAGGTTGGTGATTGTGTCTCCGGTAAGGTGTTCGACTCGTATATAAATAGCTGCACAATATGCTTTTTCTGAAGCATCCGAGAATCCATGTGCCTGTATTATAGCATCAGGCGAGTGTCCAACCCATCTGGGTATGTTCAATTCTGCAATGTTTGGCAAATTATTTATAAACTTGTCCCATAATATCATAATACTAGGCCTAACAGCTTCGTGCCAATCAACCTTCTCTTGCCAGAGATTTTGCATTATTAGCTTTGCAACTATTATAATGGGACCTATCCAGCCAAGCGGATCGTATAACCTCGCAATCACGGACAGTATATCTCTTTTCGTAGCCACCAAGGCACCACTGACGGATTGGAGCTTATAGAAAAATGTATCGTTCTTTGCGTTCCAGCGAATTCCTAAGGTTTTAGTTGTACTGGTTTCTTCAAATTTTAAAAAATCTTCATCCAGAAGATCCTCCCGGGCAAAATTTTTAAGTAGAACACCGCAGTTGGATGCCATTTTCTTCAGGGGGAAGGCTGCACTCTTTAAAGTCTTAATTAATTGTGTTTGTTTATTACAAGCTTCCTCGATACTATGTCCTCCTGACAAAATATCATCCACATACGTTTCGTATCGTAAAATTTCAGATGAAGAATTGTCTGTCAATTTACAATCTTCTCCAAGTTGAAGTAAGGTCCGCAAGGCCAAAAAAGGGGCACAGTTAATTCCAAAAGTAACTGTTTTTAATTGGTAGGTTTTCATAGGCTGGTTATAATTTGAGCGATGAAGAATTAGCTGGTACTTTCGGTCTTTTGGGTGAACTAATATCTGACGATACATCTTCTGTATGTCACCGGTGAATACAAATTCATAAAACCGCCAAGAAATTATTACTTTCATTAGATCCGTTAACAATGTTGGTCCGGGTAGCAAAACATTGTTTAAAGAATACCCACTTGTCGTTTTCATTGATCCATTAAACACAACTCTCACTTTAGTAGATTTGCTTTCTGGTTTTACGACCGCATGGTGAGGCAAATAGAAAGAAGATTGTTTTTCATCCGGTTTCTCATGATGTGAAACAGGTTCCATATGATCCAAATCGATATATTCTTGTAAAACACGGTTATATTCAATTTTTAGTTCTGGAGATTTATCCAAAGTTTTCTCCATCCGAAAGTATTGCGCAATTGCCTTATTTCTTGATGCTCCTAAATAAATTTCTTTTGGGTATTCTGGGCGAAACGGCAAACGAACTACATATCGACCGCTACAATCACGATATGTCGATTTCTTATATAATTCTTCGCAATATACGTCGCCATCATTTGAGCAAGTTACTTTTTCAAAATTCTCAACTTCCCAAAACAATTTCATTTGCTCATGTAGAGCTAAGTCTTCATTGTCGTATACAGTTGTCTTAAACGTACTCACGTTTACTGGTAGCGGTCCAGATAAATACCATCCAAACCTCGACTCTCTTGCTTCTATTTTGTTTGATTTGTCATAATGAACACCTTCCATATTAATCTGCGGCAAATAATCACTTCCAATAATCATGTCAATCGGTGAAGGTCTATAAAAATAAGGATCAGCTAGTTTCAATTTCGAAACATCACTCAAATGTTCAATACAGACTTTCTTTGCCGGTAGGAAATGAGATAATTTTGAAACAATAATCAAATTCATCTTCAGGGTGAAGTCGTCATCTCTTGCTTTCACTGTCGCACTGCACATTCCTTGCGAGTTACCAACTGTAATCCCGCCTAATCCACAAATCTGAGTGCTGTATTTAGACATCGGAATGTTAAGTTGTTGTTGTATTCTTTTTGACAAAAAACTACGTTCGGAACCTCCATCCAATAATGCTCGAACTAAAAAAGTTTCACCAGCATGACATATCCCGACCAACGCTGTTGGGAGTACAGTTGTACTACTATTTCGAGAAAAATAAACTTTCACTGAATTGTTTTCCGAGTTAATTCTTCCAGGAGGGGAGTCGGTTGGCTTTTGAAAATTTTCGCAGCTTTCATCGCCATTGTTATCAGAGTTCTCGCATTTAGCCTTACCCAAATGAAGCATAGTGTGGTGTTTTTGTTGGCATTTGGCACACGTTTTATGACTATTACATTTGTCTCTGAAGTGATTTGGCGATAGACAATTTACACAGAATTTATTTGCATAAACAAATTTCATTCTTTTATAAGGCGATAGTGTTTTAAATTGGCTGCAGTGTTTAAGAGCATGATTCTGTTTACATTTCTTGCACACTATTTTCTCATCATTTGACTGGGAATGAAACGATTGCATTCTGGAGGAATTCTGATTATCTTTGAAATTTGGTTTCTTTAAGTCGGTTATAGTTTCCAAAATTTCAATCCTCTTACTTAAGAACGAATCTAACTGGGGCCAGGATGGCAGCTCCTTATGCTCGCTAAGTGAATCTTCCCATGCTCTCAATGTATCCTCTGCCAATTTGGTTGAACACAAATGAACTACTATAGGATCCCAATTATCCGTATTAATCTTGTAGGAGTTGAAAATACTTATACTTTCATTAATGCAATTTTGAATTTGACGTATCGATTTAGACGTTTCGCACGAGGCTACTTGCATTCCAAAAAGTTTCTTCATTTGTTGATGTACAAGTATTCGAGTATTTTCAAACCTATTTTTTAATGCTTCCCAAGCAAGCCGAAAGTTGGTGTCACACAATTCAAACCGTTGAACAATCTGCAAGGCTTCTCCTTTGGTTTTACTCCTTAAATGATACAGTCTTTGAGCATCTGTTAAACCAGGGTGGTTGATGAAAACGGCTTGAAAAATGTCTCTAAAGGCCGGCCAATTTGAATATCCTCCTTCGAAATGTTGAACATCACATGGTGGTAGTTTTAACCCTGAAACACCATTACCAATCATAGTTGTCTCTACCCTAGTGCTTTCATGTATCTTTGGTTGTATTTTGGCTTGACTTGCTTCCATAACCTTCACCTTGCATTCCTGATACAATTCGGAGGCTTCATCAAATTTAGCTGTCATAGCTTCTCCATCTACCGGCGAATCACCATCATCATCATCTGTCATACAATTTTCAAAACTTTCCACTAAATTGTTCCATCTTCTTTCCAGCTCTTCTTGCTGTACTTCCAAAGCCGCTGCGCTGTCACATTGCTCCAATTTTGATTTTAATTTTGTGCAAAAAGATTTTAGTTGACTATAGTCAAATGAAAATTTTCGACGAATCATTTTGTCTTTCCTTTTCGTCATTTCTCAATTTTTCAAAAAAAAAAACTCTTTTTTAGTTTTTATGTTATTCAGTTAACTCATTTATATTAGATGGATTTTGCATTCATGTATTTACTATTTCAGGTAGAAATATATAATCCCCCAATTATATGAAAATATCACACTGTGGCAACTCTCTTTCTGTTTTGCTTTATGTTTTTACTTATGTATGTACATATGTAGTTGCGAACCGTTACACATTTGCAGTCGAACTCTCAAAAAATCCAAAAACTCATATTTTTCTTCTTCTTCCTTGTAACCTTGAACATCCACTTTATATTTTTACAACAACAAATTACTTTTTATAACGGCACTGTTTAATTATTTCTTGTACGTGCATATTTTTCCAACTTGTCATATATTGGCGATCGTTGTTGTTGTTTTTGGTTTTGGAATTCACCGTTTCATAAACCGCAATACTGGAAGAATCATCTATTTTTCGACGATGTATGTCCAAAAAATATGTGTAGAAATAATACGAAATCACTCGCAAACTCACCAAACAATTCCTTTGCTACTCGTTGCTGTTGTTGTTGTTGTTGCTGCTAATCAGGGAGATTGCACTTTTTCCACAGTTTTTACTGGTTTTAACGTTGTCGACTTCACTTCAAAATGTTAATGATCCACTTTTTAATTATTATTTTCCAATTTTCTATTTTTTCCTTTCAAAATTTTCCACTTTTTTAACACTTTTTTCCGGCGCTATTTGTCCGTCTGCCTCGCTGTTTTTAAATTTTGCTTTATTGTTGATCCTCTTTTACATCAGTGACGGCACATCGTTCTATCGATATGTCAGTGTTGGCAATATATTATCGAAATGACAGTGCTGGTAAATCGTTAATATCGATAGTTTATAATGTAATATAGTGGAAGATTGATTTTTATTGCATTTTCATTCAAAATGAAGTAATTTCTAATTCCTTTTAATTATCTTATGAGATTTTCGATGAATTTAAGAATTTAAAGGAACGTGTATAATTACACTTATTTTCGTTTGACAAATTTGTTTTTTATCGAAGGTACCAAATGATTAAAATTTAGTGACAATGCAAATTCTCATTGTACATACCTGAATTCCTCATCTTTTTAATTCTCTTTTGTGATTAGCTATTCTCCCGTTTCTCTCTTTTATCAGAGTATACTTCTCACAAAGATTCCTTATCTTCAAAATTTACCTTTTGAGGTGTATTATTGGAAACAAATGATGAGTCGAATTTTTCTTTTGATGATAATGTCGGCAGCTTGTCGTTGCTTCGAAGGCTTTTCCTTGTAACAGCGGCACACACTACGACTGAGTTAGGGGAACTCTATTTTCCCAGTAATTTATTAAAATCCACTGAATGACGACGAGATGCGTCCACTGGATCTCTCCAAAACCTAGTCCAAACTAGGAACGCTCGAAGGACCATGAAGAATCCTGGCATCAACTCAGGATCCTGCTGTTTGGTTCCCAAAAAAATGAAACAAATTTTCAAATTTTGTGGGATATTTCAAAGCTCCTCCTTTAATGAGTTCTTATCTAAGACTAAAAATAAAAGTGATGGTTTTACAAAATGAAATGGCGCTTCTAGCGCTATGTATGATATATATTAAAATGTATGTGTGAGTGCTAGAAAAGTACTAAAATTAAAAAATCGATTTCGATAACTACATTAAATAATAAGATGAAGATCAGAGTCAGGGGACATGCTGTTGAACATGGCTTCAACATCCTCTATAGTTGAACATGGCTTCAACACATACCCAACATAAACACACCCACCACAGCTCCCGTGTTCAGCGAAAATATCGTCAATATCGTTTGAAGTATTGAATTTCTCCACCAAAAATCCACCGGCAATACAATAACAACCCATAACGACAACAAATAGCTTCATAATAGCATTGGCCCGAGCATCGGTATGTCTGATAAACGGTTTAATGTAATCGAAGTAGGCAACACCAGCCAAAGAGTTAAGCGTTGCCGACATGGTACTCAAGGCGGCACTGAAGACACACGAAATGAAAATACCCGGCATTCCGCTTAAATGTCCCACAACATCCTGCACAAAGAATGGCATCATTTTGTCGGCTTTTTCAACAACTCCAGCCAAAATGGGATCACAGCCGGCATAACGGGCATACATAATGACACCGGTGAAGCAATTGGACAACATGATGACGAGTACACCACATCCGGTCAATACTAGAGATCTAGGCAAGAAATTAAAAGAGGTAAGCAAGCAGTATTTTTGAGCACCAACTATTTCAAATTTTTATTTTCCAACTTACTTTTTGGCATGCTTCAGACTAGGTAGCGAAACAATACGCTGTACACAGCTTTGATTTAAACCCAGATGTCCAACCCACAGAAACAGGCCAGCACTGAACATACCCACCACAGAGTTCCGAATGCGGGGATCCAAACCGTAGCTGTAAGTAAACCGTTGAATATTTATTTTCTATATAAATAATTTAATTCTATTCTTTCATCTTACTATAGATCCAAGCGTTTACCCTTATCGGCAAGATCCAGAACCTTTCCCAGGCCACCAACTTTGCTGATACCCAATATGGCAACCAATAAAACTGAGGTTACCATAATGCCAGCCTGCACTACATCGGTCCAGACAACAGCCTTAATACCACCCTGGATGTGGATGTTAAAAAGGGATTAGAAATATAATTCAAAGAGAGGGGGAAGAGAGAGAGAGAGAGAGAGAAAAGCCAAGGGAGGTTGACTTACCAACATGGTATAGAATATGCAGATGGAACACACTATGGTGTTGATAATATGAATATTAATGCCGGTCACTGGAAAGTAGAAAAGAACATGAATTATTTGAGCATATATCGAAAAAAGAGTCCACCTAAAAGGTATATCGGGCCATGAAAACGTAATTATTTAAAAATTCCTACTAAGATGTCTTTTGGGCCTGGGCCTTTTTGGAACATTGGTCCTCAAAAAAATATTCTTTAAAAAATCCACGCCTTATTTTCAAATAAATATTTTTCAAGGTCCAAGGCCCAAATAACCTCCTAAACGTGGACTTTTAAATAAATATTTTTCAAGGCCCAATAGCCTCCTAGGGGTGAATTTTTAATCAATTTTTTTCAAGGCCCAAATAACCTTCTAATCGTGGATTTTTATTTTTCAAGGGTCCAATAGCCCCCTAGGTGTGGATTTTTCAATATAGGTCCTTGAAAAAATATTCTTTAAAAAATCCACGCCTTATAGGTCCTTGAAAAAATATTCTTTAAAAAATCCACGCCTTATAGGTCCTTGAAAAAATATTCTTTAAAAAATCCACGCCTTATAGGTCCATGAAAAAAATATTCTTTAAAAAATCCACGCCTTATAGGTCCTTGAAAAAATATTCTTTAAAAAATCCACGCCTTATAGGTCCTTGAAAAAATATTCTTTAAAAAATCCAGGTCCTTGAAAAAATATTCTTTAAAAAATCCAGGTCCTTGAAAAAATTAACGCCTTATAGGCTCTTGAAAAAAGATTCTTTACAAAATCCACGCCTCATAGATCCTTGAAAAAATATTCTTTAAAAAATCCACGCCTTACAGGTCCTTGAAAAAATATTCTTTAAAAAATCCACGCCTTATAGATCCTTGAAAAAATATTCTTTAAAAAATCCACGCCTTATAGGTCCTTGAAAAAATATTCTTTAAAAAATCCACGCCTTATAGGTCCTTGAAAAAATATTCTTTAAAAAATCCACGCCTTATAGGTCCTTGAAAAAATATTCTTTAAAAAATCCACGCCTTATAGGTCCTTGAAAAAATATTCTTTAAAAAATCCACGCCTTATAGGTCCTTGAAAAAAATATTCTTTAAAAAATCCACGCCTTATAGGTCCTTGAAAAAATATTCTTGAAAAAATTCACGCCTTATAGGTCCTTTGAAATTTTTTTCTTTAAAATTCAAGCCTAGGGACCTGTCTCTTAAAAAATCAATACTTTTATGGTATTACTTTCAATTTACCTTGGGCAAAGGCCAATGATGGCACAAACATAATCACAGGCAGCATCAGACAGGTACTTAAAACAAAAGTTCCGGTAATAAGTTTTCGGGTTAATTTATTGAAACGCAATTGAAGATACTGAAAATAAAGAGAGAACAAAAAAAGGAACATTTAATTAAAATAATACCAGAATTCTTTCCAGGACCCAAAAAGACCAGCAAATATCTTGTCTTATGGAAAATAGAAGATCAAGGTCTTGCAAAGCTTTGAAACATTATCTTTAGATCTTTAACAAAAACAACAGAAGATACCCCGACCTTCTTTAGAAGATGATTTTTTATTGTTATTATTTATATATGTATGTGTGAGTGTTCTTATTATGAAGATTTGTTTATGCGATTAGTGATCTCACGATCCGATAACATGACACCTGCCTTTGGTCGTACTTACCTCATAACAATTTGTGATGTTGTTGTTGTAGAATACCGGTATAATAATATAATTTAAAATCGGTATAACCATGGTTACGCCCGAGACCATAAACATATAACCAATGCCAAAGGAATAGTTTTCCGAGGGTACCGACATAATGGCTATGCCAGACAGTTGACTGAAAGTTAACAAAAAATGTTTTGTTGTTATAAAAAAAATTAAAAGAAAAATATTATCTAAATGTTATTTATATAAACCTTAATTCATAGCGTAAGAAAATAAAAAAAGAATATGAGGTGATCACTATAAAATTTCAATGGCCTAGCAACCGTCTGTTGAAGCGGTATTTCTTTAAGAAAATTATTTTAGGACAAACAGTCGTGGATTTTTTTAAAAAATATTCTTTTAAAGAATCCAAGCTTTATAAAGTCCTTGAAAAAATATTCTTTAAAAAACCCACGCCTTATACATTCCTTGAAAAAATATTCTTTAAAAAACCCACGCCTTATACAGTCCTTGAAAAAATATTCTTTAAAAAACCCACGCCTTATACAGTCCTTGAAAAAATATTCTTTAAAAAACCCACGCCTTATACAGTCCTTGAAAAAATATTCTTTAAAAAACCCACGCCTTATACAGTCCTTGAAAAAATATTCTTTAAAAAACCCACGCCTTATACAGTCCTTGAAAAAATATTCTTTAAAAAATCCACGCCTATTGGTCTTTGAAACTCGTTTTCCTTACCTTGCCACCAACGATATGGCTATGGGTAGGGTTTTCATTTTCTTGCCGCCCATTAGATATTCTTCGGTGGTATTTTTCGATTTTGAAAAGAACCCAAAATAGGCCCCAATACCGGCCGATACCATTAACATGAATGAAAACACAATATAATCCGCTGTGCCAAAGGAAAACATTTTGGCTGCATTTTCCGCAAGGGTGGGCTCGGTGGCAGCAAGGACGCTGGCTGTTGGTGTCATTGCAAGGATATGTTCGTTTTTCCTTCGAAGGGGTAGAAACTATTTCAAATTACTATCCAAAACCTTAAAACGCTCCTTTCGTGTCGAACTTGTCTGCTGGCCTCAACATCTAGATGAACTCTGATGGTGTGAATCGTTAGTTTGGCGACATTTAATATTAGTAGGTGTCATTAATTCTTATCAGATGCTACCTCAACAACAGATTTACTGATTTTAGAATTTTTGTTGCTGTTTACGCTGATTCATTAGCAGATTTACTAATTTTTTGTAGTTGTTTTTTTAGAGGGTACTTTAGATTGTTGCCATTTACGTTGCCTCATTGGCTGTACGGTAGTTGCCAAAAATATTTATATATCCAGATATCTTTATGCCCGACATAAAATATCGGTGATATGAAATGGGGATTATAAAATAGCACTTGCGCTTTTTTCCAGTTGCCACAGGTTTTGAGATTGAGCTTTTTATCTGATCTCTCTCTGTATCCGATCACTTGGGGAATGATGAAATACTTGATAAAAATTACAGTTTAAGGTTGGAGCAGAAATACCCCATATAGAAGACGAAATTAACACACAAAGCAGGCGTGGATTTCTTAAAGAATTTTTTTTCAAGCACCCAAAACAGGCGTGGATTTCTTAAAGAATATTTTTTCAAGTACCCCAAAACAGGCGTGGATTTTTTAAAGAATATTTTTTCAAGTACCCCAAAATAGGCGTGGATTTTTTAAAGAATATTTTTTCAAGTACCCCAAAATAGGCGTGGATTTTTTAAAGAATATTTTTTCAAGTACCCCAAAATAGGCGTGGATTTTTTAAAGAATATTTTTTCAAGTACCCCAAAATAGGCGTGGATTTTTTAAAGAATATTTTTTCAAGTACCCCAAAATAGGCGTGGATTTTTTAAAGAATATTTTTTCAAGTACCCCAAAATAGGCGTGGATTTTTTAAAGAATATTTTTTCAAGTACCCCAAAATAGGCGTGGATTTTTTAAAGAATATTTTTTCAAGTACCCCAAAATAGGCGTGGATTTTTTAAAGAATATTTTTTCAAGTACCCCAAAATAGGCGTGGTTTTTTTTAAAGAATATTTTTTCAAGTACCCCAAAATAGGCGTGGATTTTTTAAAGAATATTTTTTCAAGTACCCCAAAATAGGCGTGGATTTTTTAAAGAATATTTTTTCAAGTACCCCAAAATAGGCGTGGATTTTTTAAAGAATATTTTTTCAAGTACCCCAAAATAGGCGTGGATTTTTTAAAGAATATTTTTTCAAGTACCCCAAAATAGGCGTGGATTTTTTAAAGAATATTTTTTCAAGTACCCCAAAATAGGCGTGGATTTTTTAAAGAATATTTTTTCAAGTACCCCAAAATAGGCGTGGATTTTTTAAAGAATATTTTTTCAAGTACCCCAAAATAGGCGTGGATTTTTTAAAGAATATTTTTTCAAGTACCCCAAAATAGGCGTGGATTTTTTAAAGAATATTTTTTCAAGTAGCGCAACATAGGCGTGGATTTTTTAAAGAATATTTTTTCAAGTAGCGCAACATAGGCGTGGTTTTTTTTAAAGAATATTTTTTCAAGTACCCCAAAATAGGCGTGGTTTTTTTAAAGAATATTTTTTCAAGTACCCCAAAATAGGCGTGGATTTTTTAAAGAATATTTTTTCAAGTACCCCAAAATAGGCGTGGATTTTTTAAAGAATATTTTTTCAAGTACCCCAAAATAGGCGTGGATTTTTTAAAGAATATTTTTTCAAGTACCCCAAAATAGGCGTGGATTTTTTAAAGAATATTTTTTCAAGTACCCCAAAATAGGCGTGGATTTTTTAAAGAATATTTTTTCAAGTACCCCAAAATAGGCGTGGATTTTTTAAAGAATATTTTTTCAAGTACCCCAAAATAGGCGTGGATTTTTTAAAGAATATTTTTTCAAGTACCCCAAAATAGGCGTGGATTTTTTAAAGAAAATTTTTCAGTTGTGGATTTTTTAAAGAAAATTTTTCAGTTGTGGATTTTTTAAAGAAAATTTTTCAGTTGTGGATTTATTAAAGAATATTTTTTCAAGCACCCAAAACAGGCCTGGATTTTTTAAAGAATATTTTTTCAAGTACCCCAAAATAGGCGTGGATTTTTTAGAGAATATTTTTTCAAGTACCCCAAAATAGGCGAGGATTTTTTAGAGAATATTTTTTCAAGTACCCCAAAATAGGCGTGGATTTCTTAAAGAATATTTTTTCAAGTACCCCAAAATAGGCGTGGAAGCTTCAGAACATAGTTTGTGAAACATCCATATCGACACCTGAAAATCCGTAAAAATGATCTTAGAAATTCACTCCTTTGATGATTGAAGAATATTCAATCGTATATTTTTCCGAAAATCAAAGCATACATTAGGGGTTGTGTATTTGTTATTTAAGTGCCCACTTGGAATTGGAACTAATATTTATTAAATTATTAGTTCTAATTAATTGTACTGCACATTTTTATCGGGCTTAAATTGTTTCCGACCCAGCCGAAAACTAACAATTTTATTGAATAATTTTATCTAAACTATAATTACAATGCGATTCACATAATAGTTAATAATTGTTTTTTTATGCTAATGCCTAAGCAAATTATTGTTTCAAATTGCCATTAATTGGTGGATCTTCATGACCATCGGGCAATAGAATTGTGGTCGTTGCTGCGTTGCCATTTTCCGCTGGATGGGGCGCTTTCAGTGGTACACTTTCCATTTCTTTGGGTGATTTGGGTAAAAATCTCCATATAACTGGAGAATATAACTTCGGGTCATATTTTTCATCATCCTCCCGTTTCCATACATAAAAAAAATATTAGTTATATAGAGTTCTTATGATTTTTGTAAAGAAATATATACTTACAAATTTTTAATCAATCCATGGAAACTGTAATCCTCGCATTGATCCAAAGTGGTGGGCAGCATTTCGTATTTCATTTCACCCGATTTGAAACGCATCTGGGCATTCACAATAATCCACAACATAACGGCCAAACTAACACCAATTCCGCTAAAAACACACTAAGGAAAATAGAAAAAAAAGGAAATGGAACAATGTCCTCGAAGAATCCTTGTTCGTGGCCCTTACCTTTCCATTAACCCTTGGCACGAACATGCCCACCAAAAATACACCAATCACCGCACCATAACTAAGACTGGTAATGGTCACAATTGTCTGCAGAATGGAATTGAATTTTTGCACAATCAGACCTCCAAGGATGCAATAGCTGCCCATGGCCACCACAAAGATTTTCATAATGGCATTGGCCCGAGCATCAGTGTGTCGAATGAAGGGTTTAATATAAT